TTTTCACTGCTTTGCTGTATGTGATGTGGTCTCAAAACAAACTGGCGCCAATAATCAGGTTTCTCAAGTGTGTCTTGTTGTAACTTGTTTATTTAGTCCTTGAGTTTTGGATTGATCTGTGGTAAACTAACGTGGTCCTCTTCAAATGCAGCTGTAGCGCACTGTTTTAAATGTCTGTTGATTTGTCATGTTGGCCCTGGATTCCTCGCGCCTCGAAATATTGCTTCAACTTGGTGCGTTTATGTCCTGGTAGGTTTTATTTACTTTATTCTTATTGTTCGTTCTTGCAAGCCATTTAAACATGGTTATTGCTACAGTAAAGAAGAGCGTTAAAGATGCCTTACACCTGTGAGCAGGAGTTTTATACTCAGAGGAATTATTTTCTGTCACTATAGTTCATGTCGTGCATCACACAAAGGGAAACCCAGCCATGATTTGCCTCATCTCAATGTTTTGACCTAGAGATGTAATGAAGGTCTAGCTGACAATGTGCAGTACATTTAGGTACAGATGTTTTTTGTATCTGAGGCAGTTCACACCCCATAACTTTTAGAGATCTGTTAGTTGTTAAACCTAGAGGACCCGGCGCACTCGCGCATAAATGAGAGCTGGAAGTTGCTCGCCAAGCTTATCTGCACCCATATCTGGAACTATGTTTTGGAAGTTTATATTGCCTTTTTGTTGAGAATAAAACAAATTATCATAATTTATTTTCTGTTGTATTTTTTTTCTCAGTGTCACCAAAATACCACATGTATCACACTCGGTTAAATAAATTATCCCTGTTATGTTGATCATTTTGCTGTTCCTGTTATGTCATTATTAGGATTGGCAATAAATTAAAATCTTGGTAATTTAACAATTGAGTGAAAATAAGGCTGAATTTTAAATAATGTAACTACTTTGACTGGTGTGACTATTGCCGTTTTTGCCTGGTCCTTTATGATTTGCAGCTTATAACATAGAAAAATAGAAAAGGTATTTTCTCATATCAAACCTTTCAGAAGAAAATTTTTTCTTGGGAATTAAACACTTTTTAGTTGACGTACAACAACAACAAAAATGTATATATAGATGTTCTAAAAGATTTCTCTTTAATTCTACAGAATAATTACTGAATGTGCATGAGGTGTGTTTTTGCTTTTTTTCAATTAAGGGGAGGTGCTGTAAAATGAATCGTTATATATTTGTAATTGTACACTACTACTATTTTGTACATGCAACTTAGCTAGTTTTATTGAAAATGAAAGCAATAATTGAATTAATTTCCACAGATTTGTGACACAAAAAAAAAACCCTGGTATCCCATTTGTAAACTTTGAGATTCAGCTCGTGTTTAAACTCGTGATCTCTGACATGACTTGATATTTGAATGTCTCTTCTACTAGCCAATATCAGTTCCTAAAGGAAAACTGCAAAGAAGTGACATCATTTTGGTCGGATAACAACAGCACACACACCAGTAAGTATTAGTAATGAATTTGATTAATTCTGTGATGTTTTGTGTTATAAGCCGGTTTGTCTTATCTTAAAACATGACATCATGTTTGTCAGTATTACAGAAACCATTTCAAACATTAGCCAAAAAAAACAACAACTTTGCCTTGTAAGATAACTCAATCTCTCACTGAGCAACAGATCTTTAGTTCTTTATTTCCATGTTAAGCATCAATTTTATTGGTTTTGTTTAAATAATAATTATAATAGAAATGCATTCGGAAATGATTTTCTAAATGTAAAAATCTCAAAAGGTACAGAAATATAGGCATTGCCTGTTTCAAGACGACATAAAACATACAGCCTCTGGAGAAACATTCAGGGCTGCCATATAAAGTTTTATATGTGGGGTCCAGTTAGAATCCAGTGATGAGTGAGAAAGTGCGATCATGTTCAAAGTATGCAGGCTCACTTGAACAGGCCCTTCCCAATGTCCATAGCCTGATCAGCGGCACTTTTAGCTGCAGCGTCTGTAGCAGCTTTGCCGATTGCGCCGCTCAACATATCCCCAACGCCTACAGACAGAATGTATTGATCAGAGAGTTTCAAACTGCATGAGTATGATAGTGGAAGAATTAAGTATCTTTCCAAAGTCTCCTATCAAAGGAAACTAAACGATTACCTCCACCCTCTTTCTGGCCTTTTGCACCACCTGCCTTTTTCTTGTCTCCTCCGATCATTCCTCCAACTTTCTCTTTGGCCACCTCAGCTGATGTAACATTCATAAAAGTTAATGATCTTGTCTACATGTTTTAAGTAAAGGAAATTACAAAAATTACTAGCACTTGCAATTAATTTAATTGGTTACATTTTCAGGTGTTTAATTTTCAAATGCCATACTGTGACCTTCAACAGTGCATCGATGCATTGAGCAAACAAATCGAACTTACCAGCCTGATCGATAATCTTGTCCACCTGCCCATCTGCTGCTCCCTTGATGAAGTTCATGTTTTCGTGTTTGATGTCAGTCAGGAACTGTGTGTGTGCATCAGAGGTGTGCGTACTTATAGGCTGTGGGGTTTAGCATTTTTACAACCCCACCCCCCCAGGCACTGGATGAGGAACACCCTCTCAAACTAATCCACCTCTCTGGCATTATACATCTCTTTCATTTCATGTCTATATTTCTCTTCTCACGCATGAAAGGAGTATTCAGAGCTGAAGAAAGTTATAAATTCATTAAATTGCTAAAACAAGACATTGAACTTCAAGAAGAACCCCCTCAGAAGTAGTGTTTGTACTGTAAACAGGGCATGGCATCACACGCAATACTACTGGAAATACAAGCTTTCACTGTTGGCGAATTGTTGTTTGGGTGGATACAAGGTTGCGTGACTCATGAAGGAAGCAGCTGAAGAATTTATGTGGCAAAATGAGTCGAAGCTGCTGTAGGCATTTTTACACTGGTTTGGTTTTTGAGATGTACAGTCTCTGAAATGATTTGAGATCATTTTCATAATGTTTTTATGTGATTTTGATGCTAAAGAATGTTTGTTTGGTGGGTTTGTTGAAGATCAGGTGCGAAGGAACAGAAACCTCCATTGTGAAGTGGGGTCCAATAGTCTGAGACCACGTGGAAAATGTAGGATACAAAATTTAAAATGAGTGATATTGGCCACGTGTGCCAGAAGTCAGATTTTGTTCTCCAAGGTAGCTACTTGATATAAATGCTACATGTCCCAAAACTGTCCTAAAACTCCAGTCCATCAATTAACGTACTGTGAAGTGATAAGCTGCATGTATTTATGAAACAAATCCATCAAGGCATTTTAAATTTAAACCATCGCTTCTGGCCAAAAGTCCTCTATCCATGCCTCCAGTTTAAAAAAAAAAAATACAACCCCTGTTGCCCTTTTAACTGTTTTTTTTTTTTTTTTTTTATAATATTCTATTAAAAAAAAAAAAACACCCCCTTTTCCCTTTTTACTTTTTTTTTTTTTTTTTTTTGCTTATAAACGGTGCTTGATCTTTGCATATCTCTCTCTTGATTTTGATTTCTCTCTGAAGAAAGCAGTATTATGGATAGAGGGATCTCTATTTTAGTCAGAAGTTAAAAAGATAGTTCACCCAAAATAGAAGAATGACACGGAAGAGAAGAATTGTTAAATAAAAAAGTAATTATTATTGTTTTCTTTGTACACAAAAAGTATTATTGTAGCTACATAAAATGACAGTTGAACCACTTTTGATGCCACATGGACTATTTTAACAATGTCCTTACTACCTTTCTGTGCCTTGAACGTGTCAGTTGTGTTGCTGTCTCTGCAGGGTCAGAAAGCTCTCAGATTTTATGAATTTTTTTATGATAGTTTTTGGTGAACTATCCCTTTAATGAAGTGTTAACAATGGATTTATTATTTATTTATTTTCCAAACACACAATGTTTTGCTTAACAAGATGTTAACTGATGGGCTGGAGTCATGGGTTACTTGTGGATTATTGTGATGTTTTTATCAGCTGTTTGGATACTCGTTCTGACGGCACCCATTCACTGTAGTACACCATTCACATTGGTGAGCAAGTGATGTAATGCTAAATTTCTCCAAATCTGCTCTGATGAAGAAAAAACTCATCTACATCTTGGATGGCCTGAGGGTGAGTAAATTTTCAACAAATCTTTGGGTGAACTATTCCTCAATATAATATAATCAATATTTGGTCAAACGACACATAACCAAGCATGTGTGAGCATACCTGCTGCTCGTGTCATCTTATTTTTGTAATGGTAACCAGACTTAGGAATTTTCTCTGTGTACTGGGTGTGTGCTGATGGATCCTTAGAGGGTAACATGCTTAAGGAGTGGTGGATAATTACTGTGGCCTGTGTGAATGTGTTTTGGCTTGATGTTTGTTAAGCACTGCAGATCTTGATCCTGTAGTGCTAGATTATAAAAACATACTTTGCAATTCATTACCTTTCATGTCTAAAGTTTATTGGCATCATAAAGGAAGCTTGTTTGGACTTTTCCAAACTAGGAGTAAATAAATAAATAAAATGCCATTTTAGCCCCCAAAGTAAAGGCTGGCTCTATTACGTCAATAATATATAGCTGTAAATTACTTCCCCCTATAGATAGTTCCAGATACTACAGGCTATTTGTGCTCCATAATACAACTATTTTGTTTTTTTAATAAAACAGATTATTGGAGTACATTTTACAGGAAAATACTATTTCAATCTCTACTTTGAAACTTCATGTTTAATTTAATGTGTTACTTTCTTGTTTCTTTATAATTGTGAAATTTAGCTTAGTGAAATTTCTGAGTGAAAACTGCATTTTGTGGTGTGTACAAACTACTGCTTGCAAAATCAAACTTGACACAGCAGTATCGATTTCAACAAAACTCTTTATTTCACTTATACAGTTTATAAAACCAAACTTGCCTGCTTTGATGCTAACATAAAAGGTATGTGGGACATTTGTTTGTGTGTGTATATACTATGTATATGTGTGTGTGTGTGAGAGAGAGAGAAAGGCTCAAAGAAAAAAGCTTGAGAAGAGTGTGTTTTTATCAGCTTTATGTGTATGTGTGTGTCTATATGTGTGTGAGTGTGTGTATAAGTGAATACAGGAGTGCTGATAAGGCAACATGCAGTCTTCAGTTTTTTGTGGCTTCAAAGAAAGAACAAACTGCAATGTTTGATAGCTTTGTCCTAGTTACCTACAGCAGACACGAGCCTGGGGTGGATCTGAACACACCGTTGAGTGACAGGACAGGGATGGGGTTTGGGTGGCCATGATGGCAAGGCTAAATGAAGATGAAGACAGTCAGATCTACACTTCTTAGCATTCCCTTGGTAAAACACAGTGCCTAGAATCAGCATAGCACAGTGCTACAGAACAGACAAATAACAAACTTTGCAATGGTGCTGTAGTATTGCTTTTACATTGCGGGCATGACAAATTCATGATCGCGCACCGACTTCACATGCATCGCAACAAAATCAGGACAAAACAGGATGTGTTTGAAGATTTGATCTCTTCCTATAACATCGAAAGACTCCTTGTCCCAACTGGAACCAAATCTCATGTGTATAAACTAATGAAAAAATGCAAGTCTAGCACAGCTACAACAATACGGATAATCGTTTTTTGTTTTACAGTATCTATGTATACAGTATGTGTTCACATTTTGTGAATAAACATATTTGTTCTTACTCTAACAAATCACACGATAAGTCTATTGGTCAAGCACACAGTAACTATATTCTGCACACATACTGAACTAAAGGAATGTAATGTATCTCTTGATGTACATACAACTTGTCATTGCGTACATTGCAGCATTTTCAAGACTAAATAAATTGAAACATGGCTACGATCTCACAAAGATCCAGACGCACTTTGCTACATGCCCTGATGAAATGAGATGTATTGCTTTTCTTACATTAATGGTCATGCAGGTTTCTTTTTTCCCCCAGCCATGTTCCTAAAAGACCACCTCAACCTCTGATATCAGCCTCTGGGCTTCATTTTGTGTGTATGTATGAGTGTGTGTGTGTGTGTGTTTGTTTTAGATGAGGTGTGGATGGGAAGAGGAATGACAGTAACACTAGAGAACAGCATGACGACACCACAGATGGAGAGGAGGGGAAGCGTCACACATCTAACGGCTACAGGGCTCAGGGAAAGTCTTTTTCAACTCTGGTTTTCCATACAGTCACAAAAAAATATCAGCAACATCTGGAGTCTGGAAGGGGTGAGGCTTTGGAGCAGAAACTCAGGGGGGAAGAGAGGGGACCGTTTCAGCTTCAGGCCTCTGGACTAATAACCCTGATGAACAGAAAGAACACAGATTAAGTCATTTCATATATGGTTTAATCCTGGGATTCTTATCTACGCAGATGCAGATGCCTTGGACACTTTCCATGAAGAGAGTTCACAATAAAGTCAATCTTTTCTCAGGAAATAGTCAGTGTGTTTAAGTAGGATTTTATTATTATTATTTAAATTAATACTTTTATTCAGTATTAATTCATGAAATAAAAAAAAGTGACAGTAAAGACATTTGTAATGTTACAAAAGATTCCTCTTTAAATATGAACAAATTTTAAATAACATTACATTTTTACAGTATTTTTGATCAAATAAATGCAGCCTTCGTGAGCATAAAATACCCCAAACTTTTGAACGCTGTATATGCTTGGGGGGAACCTTTTTATGGTATGCTACACAGTATGCTACATAGTTTTTTTTTCTTTTTTGTTAAAAATAAGTTTAGCAACATATCTAAGTTTTTTTTTTTTTTTTTCAAATGACAGAATCATTAAATTGGTCTCCTTAATGCTTCAAACATTAAAAAACAAATAAATAACGGGAGACCAAAGTGCACTGTTTTCATGGAAAGTCCTTTTTCCTCACCTCTCCACCGTCTCCTCCTTCCATGCCCCCATGAGAGAAGTCACCCTGTGAAATACAGACACTGTTAACATCCAAGAGACAGCTGCTTTCTGCTTTAGATCCAAATGGCATTCAGCAGTGAATCTTCATATGGAGCGCAATAACAGCTTTTGTCATGTTAAACAGCCATACTAAATAATATCCATTCAGACATGCAGGGATGCAGCACAGCCACGGGCCTCTCAGACACTGTCTGTTCACTGCAGTGTGTTATGACTGCTGTCTCTGCAGAGATGCAGGGAGCGAGGGAGAGATGTAAACGGTGGTCATGGTGAATGCATCTGGCAGGCACATCTTCTTCTGTCTCTGTCTTTGTTTGTTCCGTCTCTGCGGTGCAGCTGTGCTGAGCTCTGCTGCTGAGTCACTGTCAGGACCAGACACTCTGTCCTCCTCAAAGGACTTTCTGCCTCACAACAGTCTTAAACTAATCTCTTTCTTCTTTACATCCCCAACCAAATCAAAACCTAGTTTACTTTCATTATCTAACATATTTCAAAATGAAACAGGCATTTCAACAAGATGTTGTGATCTAACATTTGCCAAAAAGGAAAGTTGTTTCAAGTAATAAGTGCTTAGTTACATTTTCATGAGCGATTCTGAAGACAGCGTGCACCCATGAATCATACACAAAAAGACTAGGAACTTTTACATAAATAGTAAACATTTTTTATATTTATATTGATTTTAAAGCATAGCCTAATTGCTTTCTGAATATCTGTATTCACTGTTAAAATGAGTTACCATTAGCCATTTAACTATGAAAACTGATCTGTGATTTCCAGAAAGGGGAACAACGTCTCCTATACAGCAGTTTAGGGACCTATGCATTTGAATACATAGATATTAATACATGCTTTGGATGATGTTCTGAAGGCCAAACTTTGGTTCTAGATAAACCATTAGTCCTTCATGCACAATGTCAAATCATGCAGAAAGATTAGTATTATTGAATTGTTTTTGTTTTAGTTTTTTTTGCAACAGCAAGTAACAAGAATTTTGTGCAGGGAAAACATGCATCCATGAGCAGTTAAAAATGCAGAATGCAGTAGCACTCCATTGATAAGCTTTCTGATTATGTGAAAATGTAACTGTTTCGTGTCATTTACTTGATGAATCACATCATTTTATTGTATCTGTCCTGTCCTGCCAGAATGTATGCTCTGGTATAAGATGAGTTATTATCACGATAAAGATCCCAGGTTGTTAGTTGATGCAATGGGAATGAGAGACAGGTAAATATGAGGACAGATCGGTCATTTGCTTGTCATTCATGTCACCCACATGTGTTCATTGAAAAGATTGACTTCTCTTGATGATAACATAACTGTGCTGTCAAGTGACTAAAGATCACTGCATTTCATTTAGTGCATCTGCTCCAGTGTTGTTATTATTACTTAAAACTATTAATAGTTAATTAAACTGAAGCTGAAATAAAGTAAAATATCAATATTAGATGAAAATCTTAAACTTAAAAAAAAAAGAAAAGAAAATTAGAAATATTGCCTTGGCTACTAAATGAAATTAAATAAGTTTAGGTTCAAGTACTAAAATTACTAAAACTAAAATGAAAATTAAATTAAATCTGAACAGAAATATTTAAAAAAATGACAGAAACCTAAAAAATACTAAAATATAAACTAAAACAAAATATAAAAATGAAAGTTAATTAAAATATTCATAAATAATAACACTAAAATATCACTGATCTGCTGCCTTCCCAATTCTATGGGTATGAGTTTTTATCCCAGCAAATTACTAAACACTAACAATATTAGCTCATTAACTTGATGGGAACTGATGGGAATTCGGGTAATCAATGAGGTAATCAATGCAGCCATTCTTTCTCATTATGCACAATGAAGAGAATGACTCCAGGGGGGATTGAACTGAACTCTGCTGTTATATAGATGGTTGTGCACATTCTCCCCATCTGTGTGGTGTGATACAGCAGTCAGTTAAAGTTAAAGCTCAGTCTCATATGCAGCATGGAGTATATATGTATGTGTGTATATATGTATATGTATGGAGTACATAGCCAGGGCGGAGCCGAAGACCACTATATATGAGCATTTCTCTTTACAAACCAAATCAACCATTCCCAACCCCATTTAATAAGCACCTCATATAAAGCCTCATCCTGTTAACAGCACAATTGTAAACAGGGAAAAACAAACAGAATATGTTAGACACAAAATACCGGTATTTAAACAGTAAATACACAGCTCTTCTGCTGTGTATAATCAAAAAGATGTAGAGCTTGCGGTTATCTCAGATTAGACACAGATCCCTTAGGCTAGTCTTAAGTCATTTAAAGGTGTTTCAAAATGCAACACACAAGAAAGATTAAATATGGTATTTAAGTGATGTGAATTGAATTTGATTTTGGAGAAAGGGCGACATCTAGTGCTAGTGGAGATCTCACCGGGTTGACCAGGCCGGTTGATGCAGCCACATTCTCCAGCCCCTCTACGGTCTTCTGTCCAACTTCATTAGTGCTGCCTACCGCTGTTTCACCGACAATATTCGCCTGGTCTGTGGTCCTCTGGGCAACTGTGAGTGTCAAAATTATAAAGAGTGAATGTAAATGACTTCTTAATTCTCAGTTTCAGTTCTCTAAAGATGCATGCATATTCATTTCTCACCTGTGTTTACGCCTGACACCACTCCCTCTTTTGTCTTGTTACCTGAAATATGAGAAATAAACATGAAATATTCTTCAGAAATTGCGGATTGGTACAAAAACACCAAATGAAGTTCCATATAAATAGAGGCAAAGGCATATGGCTATTCAAGGGTCAATGTGAAATAGGCTATGTAAATTTTACATTGATATGATCGTAACAATAGACAGAACAGCATTTTTTAAGAACGCTGGATAGTTTATTGTTGATAGTCTATAGTTTATAGAGTAGATAGGTGTCACTCTGAACATATTTTTAATGATAAGTGAGTACAGAATACAAAATATGTGAAACAGAAAAAACATTAACAATATACACACAACGGATTTTCAACATTGAGACAATTATATTATAATATTATTACAATTTAAAATGTATTTTTTTTTATACATTTTAAAATGTCATTTATTCCTGTTACGGCAAAGCTGAATTCAGCAGCCCTTACTCCAGTCTTCAGTGTCTCACAATCCTTCAGAAATCATTCTATTATGCTGTTTTTGTGCTCAAGAAACATTTTGTATTATTATAAAAGTTAAAAATGATAATTTTGTCTAAACCATGACACCCCACCCCCTCCTCTTTGGTTTGAAAGAACAGCATTTGTTAGATTTTTTTTTTAACTATTTATAAAGTGCCTTTACTGTCAGTTTTTTAAACAATTTAAAGTATTGTTTGAATAACAATATTTAAAAAAAAAAAATGCTGACCCCAAACGGTAGTGTATACTAAATTCTAATTACTGAATAAACAGCAATGATCACATTTAGACTGTTTTTCTGTGTCTCAGTGACTAAAATGTCAGGAGTTAAGTCTTGATAGCAGTCTAATCTCACCATTTAAACCTGCTTACTTCTCTATTCACAGATGATAGAGGACTATACAGATCTATGCAAATAAAAATAAATTCAGCACCACTTCAAAGCAGATAAGATACCAAATGCTTCATTAACAGGCAATGACACTATGCTTCAAAGAGTTTGTCTATCAGTCTTAGCTACATCAATATCATTCTATCCCACACACACGAGCCTCGCTGTCATCAAGCATTAAAAAATTCATCACACAGATCGTGTAATATTTAGATGTAAACTGCTTCCGTATTACTCTACGTCTTTCATTTATGCGTATACATTAGTCTTTCCATTTCTATTCTTAGACTTCTCTTCTTTCTCACTCTCTTTCTCCATGTTTTTTATATGCGAAAGCTCAGTTTTTGAGTAGTTTCTGCATGGCTGAGCACATCTGCTCTCCTGCGTTCTTTCTGTATGTGCCTTAAAGGAGATCTCTTTATATTTATTTACCAGTTTGCTGGAGGAGATCTCCACTGCGTCATACGACAATGCAGAACATACAGTTCTGGATAAAAGGCCATTCACAGTATCAAATGCAGTAGCTTTGACACTCTCAAACGGAGAATAAGTAACCTGCCTTTGTAACAATCAACCTGAGTAACGACTTCACGCTCTAGTGCACGTAATGCCATATAAGCACTCTGAAGCCCCCTGACAATACATGCACTAGATTTGCAGGCCTGTGACCTCAGCACAGGTGACCTTGGTGGAAAAGTGCTTATAAAGATTACATAACACCCAAATGCATGCTGGGTTGATTGTTGATCTGATTGGATTAGGTGAGATTACCACTGTCAGGTTATAGGTGATGAAAACGACATCAAGGAGAGAAAGTTTCAAGTGTTTTCTGGAACACCCTATGGTGTGTCTATCCAGGTGGGAATGCACTGAATGAATACTACATAGTCATGGTTTCGTGTTGAATTGTTTGTATTTTTAGTCATGATTCGCTACACCATCTGTTAATTTCTGTGCTGATGAGCATAAGCAGACGCTATGGGGCTGCAAGCCTATGACATAACACTTGAGCACTGCACATCATTTCCCATCTCTCTCTCTTTCTATGGTGGCGTAGGGGGATGGTGAGGGTTAGTCATCACAGTCCACTCACAACCAGGCAAATCCTGCTGCATCGGCACACACACATGGAAGATGGGGAGCACAGAGAGGGAGGGAGTAAATGCTGCAGTGCTCAGCTGATCCGCTCTATATGCCCCGCTTACTTTCTCTCTCGTTCACATGCACATAAACAACACTTTATAGTGCGTGCAGGACGGAATAGTGTGCAGACTGTTAGTTGATGAAGTTGGAATTATTCAATTGTACTGGACAGGTACATAACAGGTAAATAACTTATTCACATGCACATGAATGCATGCAGGAAATAAGTGTCAAAAAGAGTAAAAAAGCACATCTTAAAGCCTAAAAGTAGTGCACAATAAATTTTTATGCATTAATTATTAACTGCACTAATTTTTGTTACAAATTACTAATTGTTACATTGTTAATAGTGTGAGCATGTTGGACTTTATTGAATTAAATTGTGCAATATTGTATAAGACAGTGCATCATAGTGTATTGTGTGAAAAAAAACATTTATTTATTTAATTATGAAATTCATCTGAAATATTAGTGCACACTCATCTTATTGTTTTATATGAGCTTTCACTACTTCCCGTTCAGGTCTGCACTCCCATAACTCTCTCTTTCACCACACCCCAGGTTTCATTCCCTGCACCATTTTTGCAGCATTTTTTTTTCCGTGTATCTCACATTCGCAGCTGCTTCCATCTACACTCTCACAACTCCTCAGCAGACTAGAGCACAACCTCACGGAGACCCTCCTCCACACACGCTAATGGAATGCAGACTCATCCATCACATCTGCATTAGATCTACTGGGAATAATTGCAGAGACCTTTATAGCTATTATTACCACTGTCAATGCTGCATTATTTTAGCAGTGCATTAAAACCAGATGCTTCTTACAATTATTGCCATCCTCTTGCACCTTGGGGACATGCATCCTCCCTCAAAGCTGGTTGTTTATTCCTTTATTTTTGGGAATTAATTTGAATAATTTATTTGTACAAACATTCTTATCAGTCCCATGAAAATATACACTTTACTATTACCACAGTAAACGAAGGAACATGGAGAATCCTTTCATTAGAACATCCATCCTGGACGTTGAGTTTGACGATGGTGCTCTGCAGACGAACTGGGCCTGGCAGAATTTGCAAGGGATGCCTGTGTCTGTCTATATGCTGAAAGTTTCAGATGACAAGAGAGAGGAATACAGAGAGAGGTTCTGTGCCGGGAGAGACGGAAAATAAATAAATACATAAATATATATATATATATATATATATATATATTTATTTATTTGCAATATATCTGTATTTAATTTGTATCTAATGAAATATATTTGTATTAATTTTATACACACACTATTAAATATATTATGTACATTAAATGTATAGCATGCTAATACAATATAGCATACATTTACCTTTATTACGAGGCCATAATATTACTGGTAATATAATGTAAATAGTAAATTAATTATATAAATTTGTATTTTACCATTTTTATTACATAAATTTACCATTTTTATTACAAAAAATGTAATAATATGCATTTTAATATAAAGTATACTGTATGTTAATACAATGTGTTATACATTTGTATTTTAATATTTTATTATACATACATAAATATGTGTTCATACATTTATTTTTTATGAAAACATTTTTATTTAAACATAGTATTTTAATATAAATGGTAATACAATGTGATATACATTTGTATTTTAATATTTTATTATACACACAAACACACACACACATTTAATTTTTTTTTAATTAAGAGGATATATTAAATTATATAGATATATAGCATGTTAATTGAATATAATGGACCTAATATTTAGCTTTATTGAGGATAGAATGTTCTTGTTGACATATATAGAGTTAATATCAAAGTTTTGGGGGTGTATTATATTTGCTGCAGACCTGCAAATCGGAATGTAAAAAAAAAAAAAAAAAAAATCAAACAAAAACAGCTGAATCATTCCTTACTTTCCATGCTAAAAATATTTTGAATTGTCAGCTGAAAGTCACAACTCAGCAAGAATTCTGTGGTGTGATGCAATCTGATTGGGTGAGGATAACAAATACCAACCCACCTGGTGGCTGTGGATTGGTTAAGGATCACAGGATGATGGCTGACACAGGAAATAGAAGCTGTGAAAGAGCGCTGAGGACTGAGAGCAGTAATCTCTGATGGGATCAGACAGGGCCGCTCTCCCACTCCACTGTACGTCACATGGTCAGCTGTTTCCATGCGGGATTAAAGAGTTTACAGGCTATGAATGAATGACATACTCTGGCCCAAGCATGACATTCTACAGCAGTTACCAGTCTGATGTGGAATGACATGCAACACATATATGAATTCATGACTATGAATATCATCATTAAAAAAAGTATTAACTCACTCTTTGAGTGCAAAAATGACAAAAACAAGACTATAACTGATTGGAAAAGCACATAGTAAAGAAGGAGGTAAGCAAGGATTCAGATTGCAAGTGGTGCTGCTATCTCACCAGCTGGGAAATGATCGTCAGTATTTAACATAACATAAACATGCAGAGAACAGAAGCATTTATCAGGCCGTAGACTGCTGTGTAGTCTATATCTAAACAGTTCTTCTGCCAGCATGACATAACAGAGAGCTGAGAATAAGCTGATATCGCGCTGTCAGAAGAGCTCAAAGGATCAGATTCAACAAAGAAACACATCCGAATACATCTCACCTTCCTGCCAGTGCTTTGCAGGTGAATTCACCAGATGTTTTCTGTTCCTCTACTGCAAGCAAACATATGCCAGTCAGAACATGTTTTTATGATAAACATACACTGGTTTTCTTCATGCTGGGATTTCCCATTGGGATTGATTTGACATCAGGCACTGATCACACTTACAACTAAAGCAAATGAAAGGACAGAGTCTGAAAAAATGTAGGCTGATATTGTACTTAATTTGTAGCAAGGACATTGTTAAAGTAGTCCATGTGACATCTATGGTTCAACCGTAATTTTATGAAGCTATGAGAATACTTTTTGTCCACGAAGAAAACAAAAATAAGGTGCATAATGCATTGAGGTACTGTCGT